TGGCAGCTAGGGAGGGTGTATGATAAAATGGCAACAGCTGCATGTGACTTTATGTTCTCACAGGGCCCTTGACAGAACTTTGTGATCTTGCAAATGCCTTACAGACTGATAGCATTAAAAACTGCATGTCCATAGAAGTAACATGCTTAACTTTGGCTCTAAGTGTCAAGTCGCATTCATTAGTTATAATTCCTGTGTCTTTGCCTTCCTTGGGAGTCATCACCACCTTATCACTGAAGATACTTCCACTATGGAAGTATTGACAGGAAGGATATTTGTGTTTTAATCACTGTTACCAAAGTGTCTGATCAGTATATTGTCTCTTCTTGTGGAAGAAAAACAGCCTGGCATGGCAACTGCAGAGGAGACCAGCATGTCTGCCCTCCCTCCCAGACAAGGAGCACAGACAGAAGTGTCTGGCAAAGGAACCAGCATAGACATTGCTCCTCACTTGTTCTTTTCTGCAATACCAGGGCTGTGAAAGCTAAAGCCCATTTGTGCGCAGATCTTCATGACTTGTCTCACTGAAGAGCCTCTGCAACTGTGCAATAAACAGAGATATGCTGAACAGTTTTGAAAATATGGAACTAGGCATCTAAAAGAGGGATCTTCAAAAAGTGTCACAGTAAGTGCGATGTTGTTTACCAGTAGAAAATGGTGGGAAGAGGAGCAGCTGCCCAGCCCTGGTCCTTGAAAAAAGCTAAATACCTAGCTCAGTGATGGTGATAAAACAACTGTGTCTGCTCCAGATACTGGGGTGAGTCTGATAAAGAAACATGAAGTACGTGATTGGAGCATATGTTGTACAAGGAGAGGCTGAGGGAGCTGGGACAGCTCAGCCTGAGGAAGCAAAGGCTTATGGGGAATCTTAGTAATATGTATGAACACCTGACGGGAGGTTGTAAAGAAGGGAGAGCCAGGATCTTTTCACTGGTACCTAGAAAAAGGGTAAAAGAAAATGGGAACAAATGAATTAAACTTCATCAAACTGCAACAAAAAATGTTTACAATGAGTGTGCTCATACAGAGCAGGCTGCCTAGCGAGATTGTGGCATTTGCATGTGGAGATATAAAAAAATAGACAGTCATGGGTGAGTCACTGCAGCTGACTCTGCTCTGAGGTGGTTGTGTTTGGACTACATGATCTCCAGGGGTCCCTTTCTAGAAATCTCAACAATTCTATGGTTCTGTGATGAGCCAAAAACATATAATAATTCCAAACCTTTTAGGCAGCAATGAAATCTCCTTTCTGACATTTTCATTTACCTAAGTAATAAAATGGTCATTAGGTGACAGAAAAAATGAGAAAAAGCATGACCATAGCCAGAGGGTTAGGGTAAGTCAGGTTGAAATTTCTTGCTTCACATAATATTTCATAATGATATGAAGTATAACAGGTTTTGAGAGAAGTACTGAGGGACAAAAAATTTTTTTCAGACCACCAACTGCTTGGTGATAAGGAAATTTTCTGTAATATTAGAAGAGATATTTAGGATCAGATCTACATCTCCCACATGCCAGATTATTGCTCCAGTAGTGGAAATATTAGGTACCAGTCATCATTCAGGAACTGAATGATTTTGGGAGGGAAATGAGTGAAGATCAGACCAGAACCTGTGGGTTTGATACATGTGGAATCTGTAAGTTGTCAGAACATGATTCACAAAAGAACTGAAAACAGTAAAAGAACCTCACATGTATGTACACATACATATTCTCACCTATGCAAATGTGAGAAAAACAATGTAGAAAACCACAGGGAATACCTAAACAATCATTTTATCCTAAGCTGAATTTGGTTGTAAATGAACCCTGTGGAAAACACTGCTCAAAAGACCTGTGGATTCCACCTAAGGGAAAAACGGGTGAAGTCATTCCTGGTTGAAAATGAAAGGTCTGTGAAGGATTCCTTTGGCTGACCTCCAGATGCCTGTAGAGTAAAAAGCCTTGCAGATAACTTGGGAAGTCTGAATCTGTCAAAACCCCACACTACTACTATGAACTGAAGTTCTAGACAACTTGCTAAACAAGACAGGATATTGGCAGTTTTACATGATGGCCAGAATCCGATTATAATGCCTGGCAGGACAAGGAACACTGAGTACTGTAGTTGGGGTTGCCTGCAAAGAAGTGAAAACTCAGACCATCTATCACGTCTGATCCCTAGCACCCAAAATAAATAAACTATGCTCCTTCGGTAATACATGAGAGGTGACAGATGAATTCAGAGGACCTAAGCTAGATCTTAATATAAAATGGTGTGAACATTTTTCTGCATCAAATTAGCTATCCAAATCCACAAAAGAATTCACCTGCAGCACATCAAACACAGACTCCTGGCCAAAGATGAATCCAGAATCCCATAAACATCATTGAAAAAGCTACACACTTCAAAGGGAGTATATAAAAAAGGGCATACTAAGTCAGTGTCCTAGGTATGCTTTTATCTGAGATAAAAACCCATATTAAAGAGAACTATGCAACTGAGGTGGTGGCAGTGGTACAAGATTGACTCCAGACTCAATTTTAATTTATGTCCCTGCAAAGGGAAGAAAAAAGATTCATTGGACTAACAGAGGAATGCAAACATGAACATGATTCTGTAATCTGGTGGCTAGACACTCATGTGGGATGGGGGACACATCACACAATATTTTCCCCTTTAAAGGTCTGGAATTTCCCTGAAGTCTTTTGGAAATAAAAACACAGCAACATCCAGGGCTTTGGGAAGAACATTTTATTGCTAAGCATATCTTTAAACAAAATGCAACTAAGAAAAGAAAAAGAATCAAAAAGAAGAAGAAAAATAAAGGAGAAAAAAAAAGCAATAACATCACGATAACTCAAATAAAAATTCTCCAGTTTGTCCATAAAGCAACAGGGATATGGTAGTAGCCCACATACAGAAATGCACATGTTCCCAAAAACTGTCCAATAGAAACTTACACAAAAAAGGAAAGTGTAAATATTTTCCCTTTAACTTAAAAAAGGAAAGCAAAAAGGAAAGGAAGAAAGAAAGCAGGAAATCATTTCACAAGACTCCAAGACTCCAAGAACAGCAATCTTTTACAGACATCAAGATATAATCAACTTTTATATAGTTTCGGCCAGTTAAGTCATCTAAAATCGTGCTTTCATACCTTTTTAAAACCTGTCTTTTTTTTTTCTTTTTAGTATAAAAAATAAAAAAGAAAAAAGCTCAACCTCACACACGCGCACACGCACCACACACACGCACACATACACGCACTGAAAATATTTGTTAACATGAAAGCGCCTTCTCTAAGTGTTTGAGAAGACTGTTCTTTTGAATTTAAGTTCCCATGTGCGTGTGTGTATCTGATGAAACTTCTTCAAAGTCAAATATTCATGCGACTTATAAACACCAGCAAGAGTAGATTTCTAAACCTAAACAGCTGATTAGTTTTCATCCGCATACAGCAAAAGTTTTTCATTTCTGATATCCCAGGGTTCTCAACCCATCTTGGTTTTTTGTTGTTTCCCTCTCTGTCTCTCTCTCTCCCTCATCTACTTTTTCGCATATGATAGGCATGGCCGTCAAACCACCTCACTATTGTTCTGTACAGTAAGATAATCCTTTTCACAATAACTGGGAAAATGTAGAAACCAAACAATCAAATTAAATAAGTTAAATAAAACATAAGACATTCCAAATTTAACCATAAAACAGTATATACACCATCAGGGTATCCATATAGAAATTATACTAGCAAAAAAATAGTAGTAAAATATGTAAACAAAATTTCAGATTTTTTTTTTTTTTGACACAGGTAACTGTGACAAAGCTAAAACACACGCTCCTTTCACATTTTAAGGTTTGCTTTTGTTGTCTGTTTCTTTTTACTCTGTTCTTCAAGAACATTCTCATTCTGCATTAAGACCATAATAGAACTTCTGTTCCAGCCGTCCCATCAAACATACCATGATAAATATATCTGTGTGTATATATATATATTATATTATTAAATTAATTTTTCTTTATTATTTTTTGTGTGTCACAGCAGCTTATTTTCTTTTATACAAAAGAGAAGGAAAAGGGAGAATAGGGCAAATGGAAAGACAGAGATGATCTGAAATGTCAAGCTACAAAATTAAAATATTACATATGAAAAACAGTTATTTGTCAAAAAGAACTATGTAATTTGCATTCTTCTACAAGTATTTAGCTTTTCTGACATTTACTGGTCTTGTCACAAGTTGGACTTCCAGTGGTGTCTTTCTGATCGCTTTATTAAACTGATTTATTATTTTTTGCATGCATTGCAATGTCACAGAACCAGAACCCAGAAGAAGGCTCCTTTATTTTTGCACAGTATATTCAGCTCAGAATGGTTAATAACTTTTAAGCATTCTTTTTTGAATCTCTGAATCCCATTAACCATACTTTGGTTGTCTAATGCATACTGAGTGCTATACTCAAATAAAGCCAATAACTGATCAGAACAGACCAAAACCCATCTGCTCTTCAGTTCAATTGCAAATACTGGGGCCAGATCCAGCTTTCCATGGCAATTTTCCTTCAGCACCACTCATGAGACACTTTCACTGTGTTGTTAGCAAACAACTTACTACAAGATGATGGATTCTAGAGACAATACAACCAGATATGCAGAGTAAACACCATGGGTAGCCTTTGAGTTCTTGTATGGTAATAGTCTCTCTTTATTTATTATGGAATTATTTTCCGAGATTTCTTCTCGAGTCATGTCTTGGGTCACCCCCCACACCATTCCACTCCACTCTTCCCTCCCTCACCCAAAAGTAACCAAAGAAACCAAACAAAAAGCAACCCAAGAAACAAAACAAAATCAAACCAAAAAACCAACAATCTCCAAAATCATTTATTCCCCTCCTCCAATCTCGAAAAATTATGTGTATGCTGGACACGGCCAGATCAGTTTGTTCAATATTTCTCTTGTTTAATAATGTTTGCTTTTTTTTCTTTTTTCCTTCTTTTTTTTTTTTTTTTTTTAAATAAGTAAACTGAAAAATTATTGATACAGTCAAGGATCACGAACATTGTTAAAGACTCACTTGGAGATATGAAACAAGTAAGCCATGAAGTCTTCTACCTTTGCAGAAAGTTCAGCGGAGGAGGAGATTTGGAGATGTCCAAGTTCACTAACAGAGCAGAGCTGTGCGCGCCATCTCCAGAACGCTAAGTGTGCTTTATAATACATTAGGGCAAAGTTTGCTGACTCCAAGTGGTGACTTAGACATTAACAGTCACTGCTGAAATTTTTTCCCAATACTCTTTCCCACAAGCGATATCTCCCAATCATCTCGTTCGCTGCAATGGTTCTGATATCTCAGTTAAATCTCATTAAGTATTTATATATTTATATATAAATAATTATTCTTTTTTACACATAATACTCTTTGTCCTTGTTTTTCTGCTTCTTGTGGCCGCTCTTTGAGCTCTGCTGCTTCTCCTTCACGAGCGTGCCGTTGCTCTGGGCTGAGTTGCTGATGTAGTTCCGCGTCTCGTCCACCTGATAGGACCCCTCGTCCCTGTTCCTGTACTTGTACATGGCATACAGGAGGATGAGGATGCAGAGGGCGGCAGCAGCCACAATGCCGACGACCATCCCCGTTGTGCTGCTCGACTCACGGACCACCTCTGAGGCCCCCGGAACCCGTCTGATTCCCGGCTCCGTGGGGTTTGCTGTGGGCACATTACGGAACATGGGGGAAGTGATTAGCGGGCTCTTCAGCTTTGTGCTGTCTAGCTCATAGGCAGTGGGCAACGGAAGCAAGACTATGTCAGGCTGGGGTTTGAGCTCACGGTTATTCATTTTGCCGGCTGGCAATTTGGGAACCATCACAGTCGAGGACGAAGCTGTGGAGCGGATCAGCTCAGGGGACAAAGACGTGGTAGTAGTCCTACCAGTTTCGGAGACTTTGTTAGGTCTAAAGTCCTTGGATTCCCACTTGGGTGCGTGTGCTTTGTAGCCACCTTCGAAGATTGAAGTGGAAAGACTCTTATCTGTTACCAAGGAGAAGGTGGTGTAAAAATCTTCATCATCAGTAGGGGGTAGGTTAGAGTCAAAGGTTTCCCCTGAGCCATACCCAGATATCACCAAGCCATCATCATCACAACCATCGCTGCCTTGGTCCGACAAGCAAGGTAACCCCGCCTCAGAGGTCATGGACAGGGAATCTTTGGTGGTCTCAATAATGGTGAGGAGGGGGCGAAAGGTAGGGGGAAGTGTAATGAAAGGTGCACGAGTAGCAATAGGAGGGATATCTAAAGGGTCTTCTACAAGTAGAGGGATAACTAATTCACCTCCTGGGATGGAAAAGAGAAAAAAAAGAAGGTTAGTACATTTCAATGACACAGTGCACCATTTTCAGTTCACTTAAGGGTGAGAGAGGATCTGGGCATTATGAAAAGGTGTCAGGGATCAGCCTTTCATTGTTCCCTCCCATCCTGCTTGGACATTGGTAAAGTGCATTTTCTATTTCCTACCCATGCTAAGTATGTACAGTGAAATACCCTGAATTTTTGCAGACCCAAATTTTTTGATTTTTGGAGATACTCTCAAGTGACTCTGTGGTCACCAATTTTTTGGTAGTGATCTTTTTCAAGCATTTGGTTAGAAGACTATTTAAATTAATTACCTTAGACTGCCATAGACCAGTGTTCTCCTAGATATATTTTCCACCGCTCATCTTGCCAGTTTTTCCTCTTCTGATTATTTTCATTTAAAATAACAGTGGTATTTCTTCTCTGCCACTCTAATACGCTCACCCTCTGTAGCAGTATGTAAGTTGTCTCCCTAAGGCGCTTTCCATTCGTGCATTTCTTCTTGATTATTGTCTGGCTTTTAAATTGTGGGGAGGTTCATGAAAGTGAGGGATGGAATAAGAACTAAGTACTTACTGGGTCCATGAAGGTACATCAATGTTCATCTCTTTTTAACCTTTAGCATTCTGATTGACACTAGAAATATCCCTTTCCTTGCATCTTTTGGGGCTATTACTGCCATGCTATCTTCATCTTCCATTCTTCTGGATATTCATTTACTATAATTTGATTAAAAATTAAGATAGATTTTATTGTGATTGATAAAAAAACTGAATAAGGACTTTGATGAACCAAGTTAGCTCTTGAGCCCAGGGCTGCACTGCAGAAGTTGTCTTCACACCTACTGTTACTTCTTGACAGGCAGACAGTTTCAATCAGTACTACTGATTTCTAACATGATGATTATCTGCCTACAGAGGGCTGAAAACAAGGTGGACTTATGGTCTCCTCTTCAAGCAGAACAATAAAGCTATAGATGTAACACTTGTACCTTAAAACAATATAAGCTGCAAATGAAACAAGAAAATCAGTGCATCATTTCTATGGTTTGGATTCTGAGCAGCAATATTGCTACTTTTAGCGTAATAGCCCTGTGTTATCTCTGTATTGTAATACGACTGCACCTCTTCATTTGAGTCTATTGTAGTTAACACTCCACTGTTTTATACTGTGGACTAAAAAAAAAAATAAAATGGAATCTTATTAATTTATCTCATTCCTTTAGTTCTGATTTTGTAGTCTTCCGCTGACATACAAGTCATCAACAAATTTTTTTAGATTGAACTATATTGTTTTTGAAAGATTGTGTAAAAATTTTCCTTTGAGTAATTTTTCTTTGTCCAGACATTTAAGTAAGCAGCTTAAAATATAAAGTATATTGTTCACCTGACCTCAGGAGAATCTAGATCTGTTCAAAGGACTGCAACTCAGTAAGAAGTATTCCTAACGCATAGGAAATTTTGATTTCTACTCACCATTGTTTCAGGAGGATATACAAAAGGAATTACAGTTTCTAAATAAATAATTCTGGGTTTTAGTTATGTATTAATAACTGCTAATGAACAGTTTGGCATTTTTACAATGCTGAATACATCAGGGTCAAAAATTCTACTCTCTCAAATCTACCCTATATATTACATGCACTTGTTTCCCATTGAATTCTGCCAGTAATGTCCATTGAACATCTAAAAGGAATATGCTCTAAAATCAAAATACCTTCTAAATGTATTTGGAGAAAAATATATTTGAACAAATTACACATTGAAGATAGAAATATACCAAAAAAGGTACTTAATAGTTTGATTATATCTGGATAGCTGAAATAGCAATATGGCTTATTCTTTTTCTTAATGGGAAACTAAGTGGTGACACAGTTTAATCAATTGAAACAGTTTGAATTCTCTCAGAAGTACCCGGGTAGAAATTATGCCAAAATTAGAAATGTGGTACTTTGCACACTTTCATGCAAAGCTAATTTTAAGTTAAGATACAAAGGGCCAATTTGAACATGTTTAGTTTTCTGAGCTTCCTCAGTATGTTCATATATCTCTTTTGTTACCTGCAGAGAGAATGAAGAAATAGGTATCAATGCCTCCACTACATACTTTCAAAAAATTTATGGTAAAAAAGCCTCAAGTGTAGTCTGCCAAATGGCTACACTGAATTTTGTGCTCCTGCATCTGAGCTGTTTTCTGAGCAATGTGGAAATTAGAGCATGTAATATGATTTATATATGTCCAGAAGGCCTATCCATGGCTTGAGTAGAGCATCTATAATCTATGCAAACAGGTGGTCTCAGGATGAACCTGGAGTATACCTTGAGGGGAAAGATCATCTGTGAGCCTGGTAAAAAAAAAAATGAATAAAAATAACAATATTTAAGTGAGGATTGCATCAAATTTCATGATTCTGGAATTTAAGTTCCAGAAAGTCAGCAATAGATAGTGTTCCTTTAAACAGTTTTTTTAAGATCAGTGTTTTGCTGTTCAGTTGCAATACTCATCTGTGATTTTCATTCATCATCTGTGACACTCAACTGGAGAAAAAGTTTATCAGCTTTTAATTGCTCATCTGGAGCCTTGAAGTGCCTTTGTTCCTAAATGCTATTATACTAGCCTACAGCATTGGTATGTACTTGATCTGCCACCCATTGGAGTAGAGAAGTTATTTTGGTCCCGTTAATGATTAGTTTTTCTGGAAGGAATCAGACATATCTTGCATTTTATATGAAGACCTTCCTTTTTCCGCAGTAACCTCTGCATTTAAAACCAGGTCACAGTTATATAGTTTTTGTTGCTATTGAGGACTTGAGACGATGATCAAGATTACTGGAACTATAAAAACGATCACAGCTGTCTTGAAATATTAAGTAAAGTTGATAGATTTGCTATGATAAGTGGGGTTTTACATAAGTGATGGAGAAAATAATGGAGCTTTTCAATGCCAACAAGTCTGTTTGATGGAGGGCATTAAGACAGAGTCAGGACTAAGTTTTACAAAGCTTTCATCACAGCAGGAAGCTGCCTGGAGCCAGTCTCCTCTGATGGAGTAGCGGTGCCTCTTGCCCAGGCCCCATGTCAGCTTAAAGCAAACACTGAAAGATTTAAAAAACTAAGCACCCACTTGGTTGCCAAGAATATCTTACAGAGGATTCGGATCCTGAACAGTTTGCTGTGGAAGGCAAATGTTTTATAGATTTAGGCCTCTAGAAAAAGCTAAAGAGGAGCCCCTGAAAAACCCTACATGACAATTTTGAAGGGAAGTATGTTTGAGAGCAGTTTTATGTAATTTTTTGTCAAGTTTTCTCCTCACAATATCTACCCATTTTTCAATTACAAAATAATGCTCTGCAGCCTTGAATAAATCTTACAGGTTCCATTTCCAAATTGCTCTGTACTATGGGGGGAAAAAAAAAAAAAACCAACAAAAAACCAAGGCTTCAACCCAGTTTGGGCCATGGCTTTCAAACAAATATTCATGTAAGACTTAGATTCTGCTTGTGAATGATATAGGCTGTTTCCTGGTATTTATAATTTCTTTCCCCCTTTTTTTTCTTCTTGGCTGTTAAGCACCTGTTAAAAGTGTTCACTGTTATAGTGTGAGTTCAGGATTACTTTAGCAATCCAAAGATTTCACAAGGATTTTCCAGATTTATTTTTCACCTGCTTTGTACTTTCTCCTCTAAGCAGGGAATAGATGTTTCTCGAATAGGAATATATTTTTTAAAAAGCTCCTCTTGACAACACAACACCAAAGAACTAAACAAAAGAGAAACAGATGATTTTTTTTTCCTCTGCAGTGACATTTATACAAAACTTATTTGTTCATCAACAGTGTAGATGAAAAAAAAACCCAAACCCCAAATAAATTAACACCAAACTGGAAGGAGCTCTGAGAGAACTGAAGTTTGTGGGGTGGGAAATCTTATACCAAACAGCCCAGCAGTTTGCTTGGCCTTCTCACTCCAGAAAGTGTGCATATATTAATTAAAAATTAGCCTTTTAATCTAACACATATACTACTTTTATGGGGTTTTGCTTTTCTTTAAAATACCAAGAGCACTGGGGATATAAAAGGTCTACTTAAGCCTTGGAGCTGCCCTGCTTTTTGCTTTATGAGTGTATTTATAGATATATAATTCATACCTCTGGAGCTGAGCTCCAGTCAGAGTCCTCTGCCACTGGAAAAGACAGAGTGTTTAAAATTTAATAGAAGTCTTATGAACTGTGAGGATGGTGTGGGCAAGCCAGGAATGCAGAGGGCACCAAAAAATATGATAAATAAAACAACATGAAAAACTGTAGCAGCTGCTGGTTTTCATCTTTAGAGTCACAACTACTTCAGTAGAGTTTCAGGCATCAAACTGATACAGGACAAAAGGCACACAAAAAGGAAGCCTGAGAAATTCATCCTCTCATGATGATGATAAGGAGCACACCTTATAGACTCTCTCTTTTTCCAGCTGCAACTGAGGAGCTTTAAAATGTCATCCATAAAGGCTGCACAATTCATCCATTCCTGTGAGTACTTGAAATTCCGCATCCAAAGTTTGCAATTTTCATTCTATTCTTTTGATGCTCCTCTGAAGTCTGACTCTATTTTTAATATGAAATACTTTCCAAAGAAATAATTCCTTACCTTTTCCCCCTCTGTACCAACACAGTAATTCCTTATTAAAAGACTGAGTTAATAAATTTCAGTCTAATGGTATTTAGTTAATTCTGCTTTGAGTCCTCTGAGGATACAAAGAGGAAATTATTCAGAATATAGTCTCTGATTCAAAGGAAAGATGATTCTAACACAAAACCTAGTATATGAACATTCTCAATATTTTCTGCTCTTGCAGTCTGAACTAATTGCAATTGATCGATAGTAGTAGAGAGAAAAACATTATTTCCACAAAGGAATACTGCAACTCTTTATCTCAGATATTTCCTTTTCATTTCAGAGACTATATAGTCCTCAAAGTGATTTGATAAAAC